GGCATTCATTCACTCCAGGCACGCCAATCTCATATTACTTACACAAAGCACGATTGTCTATATTGCTGAAGAACGTAAGAACGAAACTTGTCTCACAACCTTTTGCATTTCTTTCGTCTTACAAGGAGTCGTTGGGGAGGATTAGTGTTTGTTGTGGTGGTAAATATTGCACTGTCTTTCAGGCTGGGAGCAGGAGAAGAGAGTGGAAGGAAGGTCTAGCTGAGTGTACACTAGAGTGCACTTATTGAGTTCGTTCTTAGTCTCTTCTTGTTCATGTCATTGCTATCTCTGTGATAGCCTTCAGCTTCAGCATTCGAAATTTCGATTCACCATTTACTCTTTTACGCCACATGGTATCCCTTTTCCCCACAGAAGTTTTACACTGCTTAGATAATGCAGGATCATCAACATAGTCGAGGAGAGTTCTCTACCCATTTCGCCAGTTGCTAGTTTCCACTACACAGAGGATTTTAACAGAACGCCTTTGGTACAAAAATTTATCTCCTTTCTAACCAACTTTGTAGCATATCGCTTTCGCTACCTAAATGATGTTCCAGCAACGTGTATTGTGGTGCCTAGCCAAAAGTCTGTCCAAGATCGCGATGAGATTTTGTCCACTAAATCGTAAAAACAAGGCAAAGGGACTCGAGAAAGGCCCTTCGCTGGGAAAGTTGCCGCACTCAATTAAACTGCTGCGTTGAAGGTTCAAAATACCCTTGAAGTTGCAATAGGTTCATTACTATTTAGCCAAATCGATGCATAGAATTAACAAAAAGAATAAAAAGAATGCCGCGCAGGTGTATTTGCCGAAATATTCTCACTTCATAGGGCGGCATTACGCAATCGCCTTTTAACCACCTAATCACACTTTAAGACCACCCAACCTACAGGTAGAATCTAGCAAAGTATCTCAATTTGAAAAGAATTTTATCCATTTTGATAAACGAGAAGCAAGGTACAATTACATGAGTTTGAGACTGACTCATTACATACACGTATGTACAGGGTGGGAGAACTTGAGAGCGCAAGAAGGCTCCAACAGGGGTGCACGTAAGGACAACGGGGTCACCAAGTCACTTCACTCCACCACTCAGGCATGCATAAAAATGAGACTGTGAGTTCCAGCCACCGAGATAGCCATCGTGAGCATAGGGAAGGTGAGACACCTCAATCTCACCCTCAGTTTGCCATTTAACCATCTAGTGTCATGCACACACATACACAAACATACATACAAACACACAAGCGCATCCAAGGCAAGACAAAGAAGGAGAGCAGAGTGTGAATAACCATCAAACTTGACTGCATATCTGATCCGCAGAACTTGCAGTGCTTCGACCACTCTCCTGCATAGCCACGGGAGCTAACTTCATCAAAGTGCTACCTTCCCCTCCATTAATGCCTTCTTCGATTGGTTGAAGTAACATCGACTGCGGATGAGTGTCACTACTTCTCGCCGTCTCACAGGAGATAGTTCGAGGTCCTCGAAGCAATTGGTTTGGCAAACCGGTCTCTGTGACACTTACAATCACCTTCTGCTTTGCTTCAGTAACTTCTGGCTCCCACGAATTCAGCCTACGAATGGAGGTGTACTTCTGTGTAGTTGGAGATAGCAGATAATGACCTTGAAGAGATATCATTTCCCCTGCCGGTGTGCCTACACTTTGGGTGATTGAATTGCTCTCATAGAATTTGTTGGTCATCATCTGGCCGCCAATTATTTCTTGCGGTGTAGGAGTACGTGGAGGGTATTTAAGGCTGTTAGTTGCTGTATGCAGTTGAGCCGAAGGCAGACAGATGGCACCATGAACAGATATGCCTGGATTTTGTATTTGAAGAGGTGAAAAAAATGTCTGATTAGGCAATGTTAGTGAAACCTCCTCGTTGCACTCCTGAACAGGGGTGTAAGCCAGATGGCTTTGGACTCCTGGTTCTGTTATAAAGGTGCTCTGAGGATTCGTGTCCAGACATGGTGGCATCATTCGAGGGTAGAACATGCGGAAGTTCCACTTTTGTTTCATTGCAAATCCAAGCCACATTATGAGCCATGCCAGATGTATACAAATGAAGAGTGCCACCGTGGTGAGACACAAGTAGTCCTTTTCATTCCAATACAGTAGAAAAATGTCATATAGGCATGGAACTCGTATAAGTATGCTGACAACAAGGGAAATAAAGCCTAGCGCGATAAGAACACGACCTTGAAGAGGCCAGAAGTGATACCTTCCAGAACCTCTACTCGCATTCATTGGAGGTGTCTCGCTACATGGCGTCGGAGTAACTGTCATCTCCGAAGCACCGTTAACTGGCCCTTTGGTGAATCGAAGGACATTTACTACGGTATAGTAATTCTTTTGAATGGCTTTGTAAAATTGTCGCACACCTAAATGAAACAAGACGCCGTAACTACTGAGAGTGATGAAGTAACCAATGACGGTCAGTAGAATCATCTGCCAGGATGACAATCGCATGGGCAATCGAACCATAATGAGGGCCCCATACACGTTGGTGGAGTTGATGTGCGCAGTGAGACAGGCAGTCAACTGAACGAGTAGACTGACAGCTGTGTACTCAACAGTTAAGTAGACGCCGGTGCAAACGAGGAGAATGGAGGTGAGATACGAGAATGTCGGCCAAACTGTCCAAAAAGTTGTAGCAATTCGAATTGCAAGAAAGGCCAAGGCAAGGAAGAAATTGATAATTTCCGGTGAGGGTGAACGAAAGGCAATTACCCCACCCCTACCAACCTTCTCCGTGTAGGTGGTTCTAATTCCACTAGAGTGTTGAAGAATAGCCGATTTGAGCTCGGCCACTGCATTCTCTTGTTGCTTTGTTTGAGGCAACTGACCAATGCCTCCAAGAGTTGGCGGTTGCACCGCCAATAAATCGGAGCCTGTGAGACGGGTTGGCAGGAGGCCTGAGGAGGCTAATTTGGTAGCCAAATTAGGGTAGCGCAGACGAGTGCTTTGTATCACATCTTTTGGTGACAGAATTGGAAAGATGAAACTGAGATCCGTTTGCCAAACCAGGCCTTCAAAAAGAGACACAGAACAAATGTGTGAGGCAAGCGAAGTGGAGCGACATTTCGTGTTGTTGCGATGATAAATGGTTTGCATAGCTCCGTTACTCATGCCACGTGGATTTTGTGTGAGGTGACTACTCAATCACAGGATTTCACAGGACCTTAGAGGTGTGGTGCTACATACATAAGCCATTGATTGGTGCCACACTATCACACTGACAGAGGCGCTCACTAGTGCTGTCAAAGCAGGATTCAACTGCAACCTCGTCTTTGAGGGGCGCCACGTAAGCAGGAAAGTACTGATTCCTGTTTATCCATGTTTTAGAGGAGCCGAGATTGCAGTGCGGGATTTTATACACAAAATGCGAAGGGCCTTTTTTTCCCTGTTTTTTTAAATCACGGGGACCAGGACACCATGAATAATCCAGCATCTGGTGTGGCATCGCCTTCCTAGCAAAGGTAATCACTCTTAATGCAAGGATTTATTTCCTCTTTAGTAGGCATTATTGCCTGCCCATGGATTGAGAAATACGACAGGCTCTCTGCAAATAGTGAGAATTCCCCCATTTTTTCCCACAGTATAGAGGAGGGCTATAAACCCACCTATCTGATTACGCGCTGCTAGTTTCGAGGGAGAGGGGGAGAAAGAGCGATATATATTACTGTCTGTGACGGCGTAAACTTTATAACGAGGTGTGGTGGGTCAACGCATAAAAGATGAGGCGGCGTTATTAGCACTTCACTCTGCTTCACACCATCCCATGTGACATATTCTAAGTACTGAAATACCTACCCTCAAGCCCGCCTTATAGCATCATGTCACCACTAATTGCATACCACCCAGAGCGCGGGCTGTGGTCCAGTAAGAATAGACCGTGCCGCTTTGACTCCGTCCAACGTCGTCCAGTCTCCGACGGACCGACAAAGGTGAGAGAAGAACATCGCATTTGCCGCCTAATTAGCGGCATTTGGGAGGACAGCAACTACCATAATGGCAAATCAACGAAATTATGGGTGTGTTTGGAGAACGAAGCCACAATTCAATTGTAGCATCTACTGCCAAAAAACTATTTCTACTATGTGCCACTCCCAAAACATACCTCCCACTTCACCAATGGCGACTACACATTTGCGAAGTCGGCTTTGCGATAAGGGGGCCAGTGGAAAATTTTTACGTATGCAAAGCTTTCTAATCACTGCCACGTGGGAACCGATTTAGGAACCCATCCTTTTAGTCCCTTTTGTTGCGTAGTTTGGGTAGAAAAAACAAGGTGGATGGGATTCCGTCCCCAAGAAATAATTATAAAACTTTGCCATACCTCTTAAAACATGGAATCAGTTAGTTTTATAGTAAAAAGTTTAATCAACTAACGCATTCAGATGTGTGGAGGGCATGACGGTGGTAGACTTGACTACTTCACGGCGGCTTTCCACCTGGATAACGTAAAACGGCCGTTGTGCTTAAGGCTTGCATTTAAATAAATAATAATAACTTTCTTTTAAGGCCAGATTTTTTTGACGATTCACTGCACTGAACCGAAACCCAAACCAGTCTCGGTTTGGTTGAGTAATTTAATTGAAGTTCCTTTTTCCGCATAGCGGATATAAATTATTTCCTATGTCACAAAAAAAATGGCCCGGAGATTATACAACGAGCCGAGTTCTTGAATGTCCCCCTTTTCCGGCATGTCTGTTCGATGATTGTCATGCACAGTGGCTTTACCTTGACATACGGAGAAAAAGGACTTGAAGTGAAATGATTTTTCATTTCCAAAGTGGTCGATTTATAAATTCTAGTTACAACTGCCATTTTAGATAAAGTGATCGGCAACTTAAAGCCAAGCAGTAGAATTCCATAGGGAATGCAGTCATTGTTCCCTTTAACCCTAAGTCGTTTTTGAATGATTGTTGGAATTCAAAAGCCCTCTCTAACCAGTGAAAATGGTAATTGAGAAATTTCGATGTCTCAATGTAACTCACAGAAGCCTCCTTCAATGGAGGTCTAAAGTTGGACTTCCTCATCTCATTCCTCTTAGTCCACAGCGTCCTGAGCTAGCGGCGTTAACCATATCATCTCACAACTTTATTTCTCCCCACTTGGATTTAAAGATCAGCCATCAAAACAGGAGCAGTTTTGTGGTCAATAAACCTAAGCTGGACTATCATTACTTCGGGCTACGAAGTGACTCGGAAGCGATGCGGCATCAATCACGGTCACTTGAGGCTTTTATATCACCCTCATACCATTTATCCATTAACTCATAGCACTTCTGAAGGAAGTGGTTAATAAGCGCTGTGATTTGGGTGTCAGATAGTCGAAAAATAGTTGCGGCAGGTTTGCGTGTCCTCACAAGAAAAAGGAGCAGCAATCTAATCTAGCCATTCTGGAGGAAGCTTGGCCACGCAAAGACCGTATTCACGTGAGTTATTCGGCCACTTATAGGGGGAAGAGGGTAAGGCGGAGGGAGAGATGGAGGGAGGGAAAGAAGGTAATTAAGGCCATACCAAAGGTAAGGGAGACAGAGAGTAGCAAGCAACCATTTTACCTGTCACCCGAATCAATGCCTCTTCAAAAAAGGTAGAGGGTGAAGTTGACTAATTAACTATGACTTGAGGTGACAGTTTAAGTGAGGACATGCATGACAAAGTTACTAATCAACTAGGCATGATTTAGAAGCAATTTGGTGACATTACTCTAAGCGTACATCTCCTGGTTCCGCAGATGGTTGTCACAACCATCACGCACCATTGAAAGAAGGAATTAGAGCTGGTTGGGACAGTCGGTGACTTATTCATTACTTAAGCTTCCCACTTGCTTTCTGGGGTAGAAAAAAATAACATCCCATTTCTCCTCCTTGCCCCGTACATGAACTCAGCTCTCCTGTTTGCAAATAGTAAATCCATGAATAATAAAGAGGATTTTGTCAAAGAAGGCTGCAAAATTCCCTCGTCTTTCATCAGCAACTCCTGTCCGAAAACCCCTGTCCCTCTTCCCGCCTCCTTCCCAGTCCCCTCCTATGCCCACAGTGGACATGCAGAACTCTACACAAATTGTTGATTTACGGGATTCGCCACTTAAACATAGACAGCCTTTGTTTAAAACCACGTCCACTACAACTTAACCATTTGGTTAGCGCATGGATTATAACAAAGCTTTATTTTGGGATACCATTAAAGAATATAGTCGTAAGGATGATCTTATCCGGAGAAAAATTATGGCCTGAATAATTGCGCACTTAAAGCCTCACCAGTGAATGTTTACTACTGCGTTGGGTGATGCGTAAATAGTAGCAGTTTACCGCAGTTTTGATTGCCTTAGAATTAACTTGTAAATAAACAATTTCATTTAATCACGCTTATATCTATGATACATGAGATTTACTTTCAAAAGAGGATGTAAACGAGATAGCCTCTGCTGATCAGGTGTCAACATCTTAAAATTACCTGCATTGGTGGAATCGACAACCTCCTCCTCTGGGGATGCGAGTGAAGTTAGGAGTGCAGAGAATGATTATATTCCAAATAGAGCTTGGATGATTCGACAGCAATCAAGTTAAGTCAGAGGAGTCGATCAAGCCATTTCATTGACTCTTGAAAATTACATGACAGCTATCAAGGAATATTTCTGGATGTTGTCGTGCTAAATAAATGGCTTCATTGGATGTATTTATTAAAATTAAAGAAAATTGTGTTTTCTAAAGAATTTCCTAACTGGATGATGTTTAACAACCAAACCTGCATATGCGCAGTGTCTACAAAATGAACAGCTTTGTTATTCGCTACTTAATGGGCTTTTAGATGCACCTACGCCAGCTAAAGTGAAAAAAAGTGAGAAAATCTGATCTTATCATCAGGCAGAGCTCCAATGGGCTATGCGGAGTCAGGTGGGACTTCGTGATGGCGAGAAAATTTGTCAATGTGGCGCAGTTTTGAAATCAGCGCAGTTAACCATGTCAAACCAACATCATTCTGCAGCCCATGGAATCTACCTTTTCCCCAACTTTTTCATGAAACCGTTCCAAATGCAAAAAAATAGAAGGACACTGGAGTTTCCACTACGACTTGTCTACTCTTCCCACCTTGAGAAGTGTCAAAGAATAAAAAGCTATCACTTTATACGATCGTATGAGATTGTACCCGCGCCAGTTGAAAGGAGAAGGGTTGGAATCGGAAATGCTGTTCTATTCCTCGGAGAGGAGGATTGCTGCCAAAGGCAAATGTTTCATGCTAGTAAGCATGCCATGGGAAAGCCTGCGACGAGAAGATCAAGCGCACACATCGCGCCTTTAAATTCTTGATTAAGTAGAGAGCTTTATTTTCAAGGAAAGGGAGAGAGTGTAAGAACGCCAATTTGAGTCTGAGGCACCAAACGAAGCCATGTAAGGGATGACAATAAGAACTAAACGACAACGCCTGCCTTTTATAAACTGCTGGGAAACGATGTAACGATGAGCTCAGAGCAATGCTCTTAAGCTTGTGTGGAAAGAGATGCGCGTAAGTAGAGAGCCGCAACGCCTTTTTAGCCACTGAGTGACGGGGTTGGGTTTCTTTGTGATAGCCCAGGAGAGAGTATTTTAACAAAATTATAAAGGCCATCCTTAGTCCCACTGAAATTCGTTTCTAAATGCTAAAATGTCGAGGCTTTTAAAGCTCAACTTTATAAAGATCTACTTTGAGGGCAAATGCCAAGGAATGCGTTTGCTGAGAAAATTGCCCTCCTAAAAGTTCTACGTGATTTGTAGAACAGATAAAATGCTCATTTTATTTCGACTTTACGCATCTCCTGGTCATTGATGGACCAGAGCATGCAGTCCAACATTTAATAACTCGCATAAACTCTCCATAGCATAATAAAATAACGTTACTGTTAGAAAAGTGGGCAATAATTTTGTCTCCCCCTACACTCCACCACCCCTCACTTCCCCAAATGACCGCTCGGAGGCCTGGAGGCGACTTAGAGAACGGTTCATGCCTAAAATAGTTACAAGTTTTCCCTTTTTCCTTTTTTTAAAAAAAGGCAAAGCGAAAGAAAGTGTAGACCTGCAAGTTGCAGTGGGAAGCTCCATTGTTTGCCATAAGCGCTGGCAAACTAATCACTTTCCTCCATTTCAGTAAAAATTGGACAAGACCAGTTGTTTTGCTTCGTTTAGTCTCTAACATCTTTGAAGGGAATGCACCTACATTAAGGTTGCCAGTTTGAGCTATCACAGATATAAGTAGAATATAGGACGGAAATTTACGTACCTATCAAAATGCCATTAAACGATGCTGACTTGTTTGCGAAATTTAAGCACAAAACTCTGGCTTAGCTAGTTTGACTTAAAGACTTTGGTAAACACTCAGCTGGCTTAAGAATTGCTATTACTTTATCCCGGGCAGTATGTTGACCTGAAAGTAGTTCGCAGATCTAGCCTAGTTAACTAAAAATCATTATGTAAGTTGTATCTTTCAAAAAATCATTTAAAGTTATTCTATTCTCTTGATGAATCCTACAAATATTCAACTTCGTTTAGGTGACTGAGCAACCCCTTTTACCATAGTCAGTGACCTTGACTTGGCATCTGACAAATGCCATGTGCTAACCTAAAGCAAAGTTGGTCTGTGTAAGCGGAATGCCATACAAGAACTGCAGGAGGAGCGGAATAAGGGCTGCCTATGCTATTGCCTACAGGTTGCAGCACGTTGGTGACTGTGAAATCTTGCAATTGTTCACAGGCTTACAATAGAGACTTAAGTATACCTGGAAAGGCAGTCATGATTAATTAGCACTTCGAATTAGACACCCTCTTCCAGGATGCATGTTTATCTTCATCTACTTTTCAATCTTTGCAGATGTAAATGCTTCGTATTGAGTCAAAATTAAGCTATGAGAGAATAAGAACCGATGAACAAAATGTTATGGATTTTATCATCAAGAAAAACAGTGAAAGTGAACAAGTGAATTTAA